TTTAGGTGGGTTTTCAGGCTGCCAGTGCTTTAGGGGTTCGGGTTTAGGGTTTAGGGTTTAGGGTTTAGGGTTTAGGGTTTAGGGTTTAGGGTCCTTTTTGAAAGGGTGCCCTTCTACTTTGGGGACCTAAACAGGGACCTTAACTTAGAGAACTATCCATGTGTATCTCAGACAAGCTGTTTGTTGTTGAGTTGACGGCAGATAATGAAACCTTCTAAAATTCTAAACACAGTGTGAACCACATGTAGACATGTTGCAGAGAGACATTGTAGAACCATCTGCACAGCTCCTTCAAGCTAGACCCTAAACCCTAAACCCTCAATCCTAAATCCTGAACCCTAAACCCTAAACCCTAAACGACAAGCATTCTCAAGCCCTAGTACAGGGGTCGGAAACATTAGTAGTGCTACCTGGTCATAGTCCTCAATGTAATACCCGGAGCCCTGCTCGAATAGTTAAAGCCCCAGAGGGCAAACCTTATTCTAACCCTGACCGCGACCCTTATCATAACCCGAATACCTAGCTGAACCCCGCTTGAAATTCTTCGTCTAAAGATCTCCTAGTGATCCCTAAAAATCCCTTTTTTCATCCTTGTAGATCCCGTGTAAATCGCGACAGATCCCTTCTGAATTCCCCCATGGTTGCCTTATACAGCCTTACTGAGTTCTTGTAAATCCCTGTTGGTCAGGGGTTTAGGGGTCTAGGTTTTAGCGTTTATAGGGGTGAGGGTAGCTGTTCAACCCTAAACCCTAAACCCTAAACCGTAAACCCTAAACCCTGGGCCCTATGCATGTTGTTACACAAAGTCGAGGCTGCTGGATGCGCTCGCCGCCGCGTTGAGCGACACAGACATGGAGCTGCATGACTGGTCGCTGCTGCAGGCCTTTCCTCAAGAGGGTTTAGGCTTTAGGGTTTAGGGTTCAGGGTTTAGGATTTAGGGTGCAGGGTGCAGGGTGCAGGCTTGAAGGTTGAGGGTTTAGGATGTCTGGTGCTTAGTGGGGAATGGGGGAATGGGTTAGAGGGACTACTATAAGGGACCTGACGGGGCTATCATAGGGATCCATTCCCCCATTCCCTACTAAGCACCAGACAGTAGGGTGCAGGGTGCAGGGTTGAAGGTTGAGGGTTTAGGGTGTAGGGTCTGAGGTTTAGGGGCTAGGGTGGAAGACGAAGCCCCAAAGCACCGTAAACCTTAAAGCCCCAGGCCTAGAATTGTTAAGGTTTGCCTCATGTACATCCGTTAAACCTTAATCCTTAAGCCATACCAGCACAAGAAGTCCCTAACGCCGACTCAACAGGAGGAGCTGCCGAAGGAGAGCGTCTTGGAGAAGACCGTGAGATTTCTGGACTCGGGTTGCCCGGCTTGCTGCAGCTGGATTCATGACTGGCACTTGGGCTGGAGTGTGCAACATGAGCTGGACTCTTACATAGCCGTCGTTTCGTTCATCACTGCCCACCATCATGCACAGTATGCGCTCGCGGACATGCTCGGCGAGAAGGACACCGCCGAGGACGTTACTCTGATGCTGGAATCCAGCCGTCAAGTCCGTGATGCCCAGCTACATTTGAATATGATTGGTGGCGAGGATATCAATATATTCAACAACTCGATTGTAGCTCAATGAGCACCAAGAGCACGTTTGAGCTTTCCTTCTTCAGTTTCGCAATCACACAACCAGAGGGCGAGTTCTCTACACCCCAAAAGCCCTAAACATCTCCGCTGGAGGTGAGCGAGCTGATTATCCAGAGAGTCGCGGAGTTCATCCACCAGTTCGTGCACCAAGGTTTGATCCTAGGTCCCTCCTTATCGCACCACTTTCGATTGGCTGGTCTCCTTCTTGAAGACTCAATAAGAAGAGTTATAATTATAGCATGATCAAGAAGTGCATGCACCCTAAACCCTAAACCCTAAACCCTAAACCCTAAACCCTAAACCGAGCCGAGGATAACCGAGGTGGAGTCGAAGAGCATGCTTCGGCAAATCAAGGCTGCCGGCATCGCTTCC